CCAGGCGAGCTGAACCGGATTAAGTTTGTTTAGCCTAAAGAAATGTAAACAATACCACGTACTAAACGTGCAATTCTGAACGTGCATTTTAAACAAGTAATAACTGACGCAACTAAATGTATGGGCCATTATGCAGAGTTATAGAGAATTTATTTATCAACCATAACATGGTTCACATCAGAGGAATCACTAAAAACTGTGGATTCCGGAAGCAGAGTCTACAGATTTTCACGATTTCTCCATAATACAGTCACAGCCTGTATTTTCCCGTGATTGAAACTATCGTGAGTAAATGATGAGCAAGTGTAAAATTATAAGTGAGATCGGCAGTATTTCAGCCACATTGAGACAAAAAGATCTTGAAGTGATATTAGGATAAGGACTGAATGACAACAATGGGCCACATACAGACTCCATGAAGGAAAAAATGTTACCAAAGTTTTGAAACTAAAGAAAGTAAAATCAAACTTCACGAACTAATTATGCAATATCGACCTTCTGAAGGTACTTAAGGCTACTGCATCATACGGACAATTAAAATGCGTTGCCGCACAGTTGTAAAATATTCATATTAACAAAATGACAAAAATGTAAACGACATGCCTTTGATGCCTTTGAAATTGAGCGTAAACAACTCAGGTGAGACGTATTTATGCGACAATTGTTAAACATTTAAATACACGGGTTAATACTAAGTCACCCAAACACATGCGTTGTAAAATTTTATACTTTTGTGAATTCGTAACAGTCGGTTTGATGAATTATTCAAATCTTTTACGTTAGAAATAAGACACGAAAACTGGTTCTCGCGAATGAACTGAAATCAATCCCAAAAAATTGAAATAGCAGTAAATTGCTAATTTAAGTTCAAATATTGTTTCAATATCCTCTACTTAAACGTCTTCCTGTAAAACAAACTTTGCAAATCAAAACAGAAATATATCCATGCCATCGGATTCTCGTTCAATTCCAATTAATAAAAAAAAATTCAGTACCCCATTCTTTATCCATATTCCGTTTGCGGAAATATAAATGTCGTCTGCGCCGTGCACCACGTGATCCCCGACGGAGATAACTCACGTGATTGACATGCGCAATGATGCAAACAATTTCTTCCGCCAAGTCAAGAGTGTCTATTGCATTGTGATGAACCTCTCTCAAGGTGTCGTCAATAGATAAAAGGATTAGAGGTCGCCCTGTCAATATGGGGCTTTGAGAGACCGATACTACGAAGGTTTTATTAGCCATTTACTGGAATTAGCCGCGACTCAGCCGAGAGAAGCTTGCATGTAATGAATATTGCTTCTCGTTGGAGCAAAATTATCATTTTTTCAAGGAGTTAAGATGGGAATTAGCTGAATTAATTTGTGGGCGGAAAATTACTTTCCCTGTGCACAAGAGGTTGGATTGAACTCATAATTGCTTGTAGCGGGGACATGGAGAACGTTTGAGAAACGTGAAGTTTAATGTTGCTGGTAATATTTTGGTGTTACTTTTAACAATTCACGTAAAATGCAATAAATACGGTTTAGTCTTTTTAAAATATTATGTTTTAGCCCTGTTGTTTTTTAATTAAACTATTATCTTTTGATCCTGATTGTTATAATTTCAAATATATTTTTCCGTTTGTCGAGCGTTCACGCGGATTCAGTTTGTTATGGAAAGACCAAAGGCATGGGAACCTCGCTATAGATGTATTTCTTTGAGCACATCTCTTTCTTAAATCAGCTTTTCGATTAAACCATTTACTACCCACAGGGCAACGAATTACCTATGAAAACATAGTTTCTTCATGCCGACTGGCTAGTTCAAGCCAATTTTTCATTGTACTTTTTGTTTGCGTGACATAACAACGCATTGTTGCAAACAATGGTATTATCCACAAAGAATATTACCCCTGTGGGCTACGAGCGAGTGTAATAACACATGTGTATATTAGTAATTCTTAAAACTGATTGGTCAGTGGAAATACCGTAACGTCACTTTACTGCACTGTGATGTCATCCATTGTTCATCACGTCAAAATTGATATTTACGTCAAAATATTAAAATATTTACGCCAGTGACGTTTCTTCAGGCACTTAATTCGGGTTTCTTCAGTTTCCGTGGTAAAATAGAAAAAGGTGATATATGGACCAGTCTACGTGCAGTCGACACAATGTTTGCCCCCAGAGAATCGATGCTCTAAGTCGCTCGCCGGAGTCTCGTTAACACTATTCGTAGTCGGTCACTGAGTACATATAACCTTAAACTCCTTGCAACGTGTTGGTTATATGCATACGCGTTTTATTTTTTTATTTTGATTGAACCCACTTTTTTCGTTATCACCAATAAGTTTTGATATGAAAGATTACCAATAAATGTAAAGTTGAATGTAAATACAAGCAAATATTTGTTTGTATGTTTAAATTTCTTGTTTAACGCCTCAGTCAGCAATTGTCCATCTACGTGACCGATCCATTTAGTCGCCTCGTACAGGTTGGTTACTGAGAGCCAATTCTAACCCGGGGCGGTCGGGTAGCCTAGTGGTTAAAGCGTTCGCTCGTCACGCCGAAGACCCGGGTTCCATTCCCGACATGGGTACAATGTGTGAAGCCCATTTCTGGTGTCCCCCGCCGTGATATTGCTAGAATATTGCTAAAATCGGTGTAAAATCATACTCACTCACTCAATTCTAACCCGGAATCCCAATGAGAAATTAACATCCCTTCAATGATAAATGTACTTAAGATAAATATGTCAAACCTTTTCTTATTTTACTTCTTTTATTAAGTTGCTCTTATTCTAGAATGTCATATTCAGTTGGTTATCCCTCGCACGTTCTCTCCTCTATTTCACCAGTGTAAATGTTGAGGCCTATGTCGGTTACTATAGCTGTATGGTACACTATACTACTCAAAAGAAGTTAAAGAAAAGACGACTTTTTTTCATATTATATGAAAAAACGGGTGTTCTTTAACTTCCTTTGAGTGGTATATATAATCTGAAGACCCGGCGTGGGTGGATAATTACACATATTATAAATGCATTCATATTCGATACGCTTGAAACAACGTTACAATATATGCCACCTGTGTGATACACCAAACGTGTCATCTAAACTGCCTGGTTCCACTAGAATCTGGTCACAAGTGATCATGACAGTGTTATTTGCCGATGTAATACGCGAATATCTTTTGACACGTGGGATGAAATAATATCGAAGAGTGAGTGAGTGAGTTGGGTTTAACGCCGCTTTTAACAGTATTTCAGTTATATCGCGGCGTGTCAGCTTAATGTGGGAGGAAAGCCTGAAGTGATGCAGGTCTCAGACGTTTACCACTTCGGTGAAACCCACGAGCACGGGTATGGTGCTGACAAACCTAGAAACTTAATCGGGGTGAACCGGGATTCCAACCCACAATCATAGGTTTCTGGCGTGCCCAAGGGACGCAACTCTGCACAGCGAATCGCGGCGCCTTAGACGACTGGGCCACTCGTGCCCCCTAATGTCGAAAAAGATAATCAAACACAATTCACCTTCCGCCCTTTGTTATCAACTGTCATTCCTAAAAACCTCTTTTCCTATCAGACCGAAACAGCATATATGATGCAGCATACTTGATATTTGTAAAAATAGGGATTCCAGTTAGAAGTAGTCCCCAGCAACCTATACTTGTCGTACACGGTGACTTCATGGACCGGGTGGTCAGTGTGGATAGCCCCTCAACGGGGACCGTTGCTCATAATATCAATCATTGGTTTGTCTGGACCAAACACGATTATTTACATGCTGACGTCATATAGCTGGCGTTAAACATCTAACTAAATATTGCAGGCCCTGTCAAAACCTTTGTACAATACTGGATGCTTCTTCTGAGAATGGGGGGCACGGGTGGCCCAGTCGTCTAAGGCGCCGCGATTCGCTGTGCAGAGTTGCGTCCCTTGGGCACGCCAGAAACCTATGATTGTGGGTTCGAATCCCGGTTCGCCCCGATTATGTTTCTAGGTTTGTCAGCACCAAACCCGTGCTCGTGGGTTTCACCGAAGTGGTAAACGTCTGTGACCTGCATCACTTCGGGCTTTCCTCCCACATTAAGCTGACACGCCGCGATATAACTGGAATACTGTTAAAAGCGGCGTTAAACAAAACTCACTCACTCACTCTTCTGAGAATGAATGATCGTCAATGAAAATGAGCTCCATCTTTGCTTCCTCACAAATGCTCCACTCCCGTATTTCCTCTTAAAACCTACTCATTATGATCCGACTGATATATTTTTTTCAAATACTTTCATTGCACGGGTTCAGGGATAAAAAATTCCTGCATGTACCTAGGTTGTGTGTGTTCATAATTCAAGATGATTCTGGTAATAAAAATTTATGTTTACGAAGTTTCTCATTTGAACAACTCAACATTCTTCCACTTTTGACCCCCAAAAATGTATACATGATAAAAACATTTTTTTCACACATTTATTGAGTTTTAAGAATTCAAATTTTGTTAAACTTTCAACACGTGTTTTATCAATTATGTTTAACTGACGTAAGTTGTATATATGATATACGAGTATTTGAATATATAGCCGGATGTCAGTTGTTGTTTTTAAATCTGAATGCAACTTACCAGCTGTATTATATATTGTAACTGACGTGTGACACTTCCATTTCTGTCTGTATGTCAATAATTCAGGGCGAACAGTAAAAGGCACTATGTGGACTTCACAAGCTAACATCACAAAGGAGTATTATAGGAAAGGCAGTGCCGCCCTGAAAATGTGATGTTTTCAAGAAAATGACCCCGGTACACCGCGTGACCACTACAGGTGTCACCAGTGGGGTTTTAGGAGACGAAAAAGGTAGCAATGGGGGCCAAGTAGTTAAAGCGTTCGCTTGTCACGCCAGACCCGAGTTCGATTCCCCAAAACGTATGTCTTCGATTTTTGGTGTCAGCCACCGTGGTTTTGCTGGAGTATTGTTCACTAACTTCTCGGGAGAATAAAAACGAATATGACAAAATGTGTCACTGAACAGATTTTATTTACATATGTACATGACTATAAAATAAAACGTGTAAATAACTAAAATCACTGGGTAAATATTATTGCTCCGTCCGCGTTGATGTACATCTCAATTAGCAGTTATCTCCCTTTGTACCTTCAAACAAAACGAATTGAATGAATTATGAAATATGTTCTCATATTTCACAGAATATTTAAAAACATTTAAATTTAAGTACGACATTTTACAAACCTAAATATATCTGATACATGCATAGCATGTACTTTCACAAATTTTGTTAATATAGAACAGAATTTGGTTACAGTTTATATCCTCGATATGGGCTGGTACATCAGACATGAGGCCCTCAACGAGATTATTCAATACTCAAGTTTAGTGTTATCTCTATAACATATCACAGTAGTGGATCGCTTGACATAAATTGTACACATGCAAATCATTATCATTTTTAATTGAGATTGAGTTCAGTTGTTTAAGAGAAATTTGTCATTTCTAAAACCAAACAAAATCGCCACCAGTTTCTCACTTTGGACAAAATAAATGTTATAAATTATCCCTTTTGTTAACTGTTTTGGCCTCAGTGAATTTATGAAGCGGGTATTTTAGCATTATCTTTTGTAGCTATGTGCTTTTACTCAAGGCACAAACGTTATTTTACTAACACGAAATCTTGTATTTTTAAGAATGTTGAAGCCTTGAACGGCAACACGGACTTGCCGACATATTTCGATTCTATAATTAACTATGATGAAAACAAAACACTTCTATTGGTTTTAGTAATTATTATTATTATTATTATTATTATTATTATTATTATACCTGACATCTCATTCCAAATATATTCAACGGGGAATTATTCATAAATAACCAGGGTTATGGCCACTTGATTCATCATATACACACTATCGACTGTAGGAATAGCAATACATTAACAGGGGACACAGATATACATCAGATGTGATGATGAAAGCCATGGCGCCTATGATGACACGGCCGAGAAATGTCCCAAGCACCCTGCCCCACTTGAGACAAGCACCTGCTCTCTCCCTGCACGGAAGGAAACCAACTCGGGAGCTCGGGGCCTGTTTCCCGACACAGTGAGTCAGGGATGACAACAACTTCAAGAGATTCTCACGATAGGGACGAGTATCGAAGTCATTGATCTTAATGCGTGTTTGGAATATGGAACACTAAAGGATATTATCAATACGTTGTTTATGTCAGGGATACATGGTGGAAAAACAGATATTACTGATCTGAATTGCTGTGTTTAAAACGTTAGTACATATTTTACACACAAAAAATTATAATGCACACTTCTTACTTTTACATTTTTATATGGATCTCATCCCGGTTGGCCCCGATTATGTTTCTAGGTTTGTCAGCACCATACTCGTTCTCGTGGGTTTGAACAAAGTTGTGAGCGTCTGAGGCCTGCATCACTTCGGGTGTTAAACCAAAATTCAATCATGTATTTTCACTAAGGGGCGGACTATTTCATGATTTGGGGGTGTCGGTATAATTTTTTTTAAATCACCTGATCCCGAAAAAATACTTGTCCTCAGGTTATCCAAGAGTTAAAAAACCAACTACAGGATATTCTGCATGATCCGAAAAATAATGTGTCGTGGGTCCCCAACAATGTCTGAATCCTCCTTTCAGAGAAAAAAAATAGCTGCCAAAGATATGCATTACACGGCAAATAAGAATTACCGGGGAGAAAACGACAAAACCAGCCTGTATCAGCCTATATCATGCTCAGCCTGAACAAGATGCTGGAACGAGAAAGTGAAGCTCTCCTACAGCATGGTGCGTATCACTACGTATGATATTGGACATTATGCAACTGAAAGTGAGTTGCGTTATCTACATCAGCTTCATATACATTTGATCTGGGCAAGGATTGATTGTTAATTTCAAAGGTGACTAGATGGACTACCTAACGTTCAGCTTGGGCGTTTCTTATACGATTGACTTGATACGCCTTTCCGTGTAAATGGTATGTTTGTTTGTTTGTTTGTTTAATGCCGCACTCAGAAATGTTCCAGCTATATGACGGCGGTCTGTAAATAATCGGGTCTGTACCAGACAGTCCAGTGATGGACATCATGAGCATCGATCCCCGCAATTGGGATACGATGACATGCATCAACCATGTCAGCGAGCCGACCACCCGATCCCGTTCGTCGCCTCTTACGACAAAGATGTGAAGACCAGTTCAAACCCGGGGCTTCACGGGGTGTAAACACTGTGACAGTAGAACAAGACCTCATCACAATAAAGACAATTAAACTGGTTACAACAATGAAACTGTACATATGAAAGTACGTCCGATGTTGAGAAGGTTCAGAGCAGATAGATTAGGAGAGGACCATACGACACCTCTCTCATATATTGATCACTTGTTTGGACGTTCGTGATTCCAGTCACTAATTTCAAGCATCACTAGGGTCATTCAAACACAACAGTCATTGATATACTTAAATATTGTCCAACATTTGTAGAACCTCAACACTGAATACATATTGACCTTCTTTTATGTCAAGGGCGAAGTGTCGTCTGCTCCTCTATCTCCTCTCACACTGGCTGAAAATGAGTGGGGAGAGGGGGAGGTTCCGGAATACCGTTGTTGCGCATTTTGGATGTCAGTGTCCTGGCTAATGTTTGTGCCGTCTGCTCTAAGATCATGTCGGTCAGTCAACTCGTGGCCGAAATCCTGTTGACTTTGAAACTCTAGGACTTGGTTTAAAAGATTAATGTAACGAATCGACAAACGGAGAATCTCGTTCTTGCTCAACTTCTTATCAGGCGGATGGGTCGGTACGAGCTTCCGTAATTCGGCAAAGGCCCCATTAACATTCTGCTGCCTCCATCGCTCCCGACTGTTGGTAAACATCCGTCGAGCTATCTTCCTGAACGGAGACGGCGGCCGATCTTGATCGCTGTATCGCCTTCTCTGTTGCTGTTTCTGTCGCAGGTCCAGAGGTCCGTCCTGACCCAGTGCAGCCGGACTCGAGTTGAGAAGGACGTGTCTTGGCGGTAACAGTGATCTTGGCATGCTCTGCAGACAGATGAAGCCGCCATCTTGAACCGACCTGTCCGTGTCTGGACTCGCGGGCGAGAAGACGTTGTCATCGACGTCTTCGTGGTCGTGATGAATCATATCATCGTCGTGGTCGTGGTGAAGCATATCGTCGTCGTCATTTTCGTCTGAAGTGGCGTAAGACATCCGATGGTCGTTCTCCTCGCTTCGGGTAGTGTCGGTGTTATCCGAGTCCCCCGTTCCGTCATCGTAGCGGTCTCTGTAGACGATGAGCGCTTCGGTGTCAGTCGGAACCAGGTCGTACTTCATCGTGAGCTTGTGATCTGGAACAAATATAAAACTATTTAGAATGGGTGATATTCAGAATGCCACGTGGTCTCTTGAAATAGTGGGATTGGGCTTAGCTATTGGGCACTGCTGGCAAATCTGGTTCCCTTCCCTCAAATGACAGTTTCTTGGTCTTCTTGTTTAACTATGTATACCGGTATAGTATGCAACGAAGACCATCATTTCACAATGTCCTAGTTTCAAACATGGTATTAATTCCAATATCTGGACCTAGGAAGGGCCCTGTAAAAATCCGGTAAAGAATTGGTCTTCAGCAACCCATGCTTCTCCCAGGAGGCGGCAAACGGGATCGGGTGGTCAGACTCGCTGACTTAGATAATGCATGTCATCGTATCCCAATTGCGTAGATCGATGAGCATAATGTTAATCACTGGATTGTCTGGCTCAGATTTGACTATTTACAGACCGCCGTCATATAGTTAGAATATTGCTGAGTGCGGGGTTAAACAAACAAATAAACAAATCTAGGAGGAACATGGGTAGAAGACAGTGAAGCTTGGTCTTTAGGTAACTATCACAGCACACGTTATCACGTTAGTGAATGGGTTGGGTGTATTCAAGTTCCATTACGGCATGGAAGCGTGACGTGGAAGGTACGCCCAAGGTGACGTAGTAGACGTTTGGTGAAATAACTAGCACGGGTATGAGGATGACAGTCCAAGGATCAGAATCGAAGCGAATAATGGCTTAGAACTCTCAACCATCGGCTCCCGACTTCAAAGGGACACTACTCTGTACCGTGAGTTGTGGCGCCACGGGCCACCTGTTACACTCCTTTAAATCAAGAGAGCGGAAGGGCTGTGGTTCGATTCCCGGCCGCGTCATACCAAAAGACGTTATATAATGCCGCTATATATTTAATTGCAATAATTTTGAACGCGACGCTAAACCCCATTTCACCTCATTCACTTACAAATAGCACTGTGTCATGGTCGAAACGTTTATGATTATGATGTGATTTTAGCCATGGATAAAACATTAAGTACAAGAGATTAAAAGTTAGAATTTTTAAAGCACGAAGTAATGTGAGAAAAACCTATGTACTAAATTAACATAAGGTGGTCTTGAAAAGCTGTTATTGAGTCTCTTGACACCGGGGTTAATCAACCGGAATCCACAACTCTCCCTGTAAACAATCGACTTCACCTAAACCGTCCTGCGAAAGTTCTAAAGGCTTCAAAATACTCTCGCAAGTAGGACTATAGTTCCTGTTGTCCCGATACGCTTCATCTAAATTGCGCATTTATTGGCTTTCCAAGAAATAACAGATTCTGGTAAATATGAAACTGGTTTGCTTATTGAGGAGAAACGCAGATACTTGAACTAACAAAATAATTCGAACACACCTGGAAGAGATTGTATGTGTATACATTAACAAAAGCCGCGGGGCATCATAGAACGTCCACGGTCAATGGTATTAACCAGCATTAGCCGTGGATTGTAATCCTTTTTACTCGAGATATATCGGTTAACGAATAGTTCATCCCCGTGAGTGAGTGAGTGAGTGAGTGAGTGTGTGAGTGAGTGAGTGAGTGAGTGAGTGAGTGAGTGAATGTTGCTTTAAATCCAGGAAGTTTACTATCTTCTGTTAGGAAAGGTTTTGGTCTCTCTCTAATTCCATTGAAAATATCTTAAGTTAGCGATATTATATCCCAAAACTGAACAGTACTGGCACTTAGTCAGCACTAAAAGAATACTTATACATTGTTATAGGTTTCAAAATACAATTTCATATAAAACTTTTCAAAACTAAACATAATACACAACTGCTGGTGGGACAATTATACATCTTATACATCTTATCATAAAATCAATACATTTGCTTTTTTCGGCAGAATTTAAAACATTTCAATGTATTCTTGTGATCACCAACATTCATTTTCACAAATTGTACCCTTGAAGAGACTCAAACGGTGACAATAGGAAATATGTATTTTCGAACTTTTTACCAACCAGCTTCAGAAGGTCGAAATAAAACGAAAAACAACTTACATAGCTCACTATTCTCATATTTTCTCGGTTGGTAGTTTAACTGGAGAAGTGCTAATGTTGCTTTAAATCCAGGAAGTTTACTATCTTCTGTTAGGAAAGGTTTTGGTCTCTCTCTAAGAGGCAGACACTATTCAATACAAATACACTAGTATATAAAAGAAATAGACCCGTGAAGATCCGGGGTAGTATAGGTCTTCAGCAACCCAGCTTGTCATAAAATGTGACTCCTTGTCGCGAGAGACTAACGGGATCGGGTGGTCAGGATCGCTGACTTGTTTGATGCATGTCATCGTACCCCAATTGCATGGATCGATGCTCATAATGTCAATCACTAGATTGTCTGATTCCGACTCGATTATTTACAGACCGCCGTCATATGCCTGGAATATTGCTGAGTGCGGCGTTAAACAACAAACAAAACAAATATATCACATCACTGCCAATGGTTACGACAGTTGCCTGAATGCACATTGAGAGAGTGACACAATGATAAAATTACTCTAGTTAACGGTAATGGTACATATTGTCAACATGGTGTATATCAAGTGATGGGTTCTTATCTAGTATCAATTGTTTTCTTATATCCCCCTCTCCGAAGTGATGAGAAGGGGGCACATGATAAACTTATATAAACATACCAATTTGGGGAGTCGACCAAAAGACTTCACCGGGATGAGCCAGCGTTTCTACCTTCGAGCTACCCAGGAAATGACGAAAGAAAATCCAAAATGAGTTTTTCAGTTTTGAAATTATGTTTGAAAAAGGTACTGACCCCCAGTTACAAACGATTATTCGTTTCACGTTTATATTCATCCCATAACCAACACATCTACATATTGATCAACATACGCTTCTAAGGACAGCGTCATTCATCACCATAGTTAGATATCTATACACCAAAATATAAAGCAAACACAACACCTTATTTATTGTCATATACCCTGAACTAGACTAACTTTTAGTCTATGAAATCTTATATTGCACAATACCCTTCTCGACCAATAATAACAATAAAACAAAACTTTTCCCGATGCTGATTTCATGTTGAATAGAGCTAGCTAGAGCTGGCTAGACTTGCTTTTGTATACATATCTAGATTGTATTTTCTTTCTTCAGAAAATAAATATATTCTAGTCATGGTGCATGGCTAACCCTGAACTACCATGCAACTTTGGGAAACACTTACATTTGTCAATGGCCTCTTTACAATAAATGTCTAACGTACCAAAGATATCTGATAAACAATTGTTGGGAAAAAAAAGGAGCACTGCGTGTGCTTCTCGATGGACCTATATACTTGTTTACAATGTGACTCCACGAGGCCAAGGTAGGAATTGGTACTCAAACAGTTAAAAACATGTTATTAAATAATCGATTTCGGTTCACGTACTAAACATTTTTTTTATAAACAAATGGTCTTTTATGTGAAATATATAGTATGCCGAGTTTAAATTGCCAAGGTGTAAGAAAACATATCTTTCATGTAATTGCCATGTACATACACTGTCGGACAAAAGACATTTTCACTCGAAAATTGGATCGGGCCAAAATTACAAACGTTATAAAAACGGTCCCGGGTGAAAATAATTGCCGAAACAGTGCAAACTTAAGGTCAAAAGCACAATTATAATCAGTTGATTGTATCATGTTTTTGATTTTCAATTGAAAATATCTTAAGTTAGCGATATTATATCCCAAAACTGAACAGTACTGGCACTTAGTCAGTACTAAAAGAATACTTATACATTGTTATAGGTTTCAAAATACAATTTCATATAAAACTTTTCAAAACTAAACATAATACACAACTGCTGGTGGGACAATTAGACATCTTATCTTTTAAAATCAATACATTTGCTTTTTTCGGCACAATTTAAAACATTTCAATGTATTCTTGTGATCACCAACATTCATTTTCACAAATTGTACCCTTGAAGAGACTCAAACGGTGACAATAGGAAATATGTATTTTCGAACTTTTTACCAACCAGCTTCAGAAGGTCGAAATAAAACGAAAAACAACTTACATAGCTCACTATTCTCATATTTTCTCGGTTGGTAGTTTAACTGGAGAAGTGCTAATGTTGCTTAAAATCCAGGATGATTACTATCTTCTGTTAAGGAAGGTTTTGGTCTCTCTCTATGAGGCAGAGACTATACAATACAAATACAAAATACAATTTGATATAAAACTTTTCAAAACTAAACATAATACACAACTGCTGGTGGGACAATTAGACATCTTATCTTTTAAAATCAATACATTTGCTTTTTTACGGCACACATTTAGAACATTTCAAACATGCTAGAGGTCATGTGTTTGCAAATTCATTTCTTATCCCAATCTTCATCAAACCAATTAGTTTCCACAATATTACCCAGCCACAGATTACTTGGTGCAACTTGTTGCAGACATGAGTAATGGTTAGAAGGACATAATCAAATTAAACAACAGTTCTTCGAGTCTCCAATTACATTAAAAACAAACTCGGTATACTATATTTTGCCCCTCAGTTTGTGTAATATCCAAGTACTTAAAATGAGAACATAATAACATTACCTCTTAGTTTTGCCTCCATTAACGCCGGGCTCTAACCGCGAGTAACAATCGTGTCGGTGTTATGTTATATTTAATTTCGACATCACTCTTTAATCACGTTGTTTGGGATACGCATCCTGGTGTCAAAACACAATAGATACCAAATATGATAAATTAAACTTTCATAAAAAATAAATAGAAACGCGGAAGTGTAACTGAAGACAGCAGAGACGCGGCGGAAGTGTACATCTACACATTATGAATGATCGTCCCTCCTATATGCATTCAGTACTATAGGAAACGTGTACTTCGTATAGAAAACAACAGCGGTGTATACATTTTAAAAATGGTTATATTAGGCGTATTATTTTTGGTTTGCAGTGCTTATAACAACTTCTTAAATACCATACGTTAAGAATATGCTTAAAAGAAAAATATATCTGC